TCTAAACTAAAATCTTTTATCTCATATTGAAAAAAGCTAGTGTCATAATTATTAAGGTTGCTTTTTTGAGTTAAAAAGATGACACATCTAGTTATGAGAAAGCACTTGATTTGTCGTGTACATAGACATTATCACTGTTCATCGCTTTCCAACTTGTTATTCTTTTACTTGTGGTTGAGATCATGAATCAAACACCAAAGGATCAACCAAAATAAAACCTTAGTTTTCAGCCTTAGTAAACCAACATTGTAGTCAGTTGGAATAATTCAGCGGTTGTATACTTGTTCAGTGCCTTCCCTGATCGACCATTTTGTTTCCAATATTGATTGAACAAATGCCCACATGCTTGAGCTAACCTCAAAAGTTACAACTAACTCAACACTGTTTCGGATTGGAAGTAACATTAAGTTTGAATCACGTAACACACAAATTCTTCTTTTTCCACGAACATAGGTGATACTTTCAAAGGGTGATATTACACGGAACGATTATGGTACATTGTAGTATAACGTGCTTCATTTCGATAAGAGCTGCTTCATCAATGCAGATACCTTGAGAGAAGGTTATGAGTGTATTCTGGTATGTTGATTGTCGATCCGGAAGACAACAGTGTTTTTTGAACTCAATATCTTTTAAAATTCTTTTCAAATACATCATGGAGTCTTCTCATTGTTCCTTTGAATGATTCGACGTGTTCCGGAGGTCAGTAAAAAGTTATGAGATGTCACTTGTCTAAATTTCATCATCATTATTTATTATTTGAAGACTTACAGAGTTTAAAAACAGAACAACGAGTGGTGAATGTGTTTTGGTTTGCGTTTGAGCACCCAACACACTTTTAAGGAACAAGAATACTGTTGATCAGAAAGTATGCTGTTCCAGAATCGTCCGAGCTTCCTTACTTTGTGAGGATCTATAAATTGGTTGTACAATGGAAGAACCTTCACATTAATGGCGTAGTCCAATTAATCAAAGTTTGCAACTTGCGAAATCTGCTGAATACAAACAGCTATGCTCTGCTAGGATCTTGATTCATATACTACTTTTAAAAAGAATATAAGATTGTGCTTAAAAAGTACTGATCCACATCAATCTTCTCTAGATATGTTCTTCAATAATTTGAAAGCGCTAACACTGATGGTCAATGAAGACTATAAGAAAGGAAGATGACTTCACGTTGGCACTTCTCTTAAAAGCTATGATATAATTTGAAGCAAAATTACACGATTCGACTTTATGAGCGGAAAATTCCGTATTGTTCTAAACTAGCATTTTGATATTTATTTTATCTAAGTCATCGATGATTTCATCAAAAATAATGGTGTTAGGCACAAAATTATGTTATAACTTGGAAAAGTGCATTCAGCATCACTTTATTCAGTGTTCGTTCCATATATCAAAATTAGTATCACTTCTGGAGCAATAACAGGTGATTGTGCAAGCAGATCTTTCAAAACTTCTCTAACTGTGTTATAACTAGTTGAATGGTCCATCATAATACATACTGTAACGAGAACGCAAGTTCTCAAATACTCTACCACTGAGCCGGCACACAATACAGTTTGTTTCCAACTTTATGAATTCCATATATCAATGTTTACGTGATGAGCTTTCGAGCTAAAGAGAGATAAATATCATTAGATTGCTAAATTTACTAAGTGCCCTTTTTTAAAGCTCGTACAATGGAAAGCTTTTCACAAGGCGATGTTATTTCAGATGAATAACATACGATTAAGCCTGTCGTTTATCTTTATCTTTATCGGATCACAAACAGACAACTGATCGGCTATGAATAAGCATAGTTATTAAGGATCATTGCGAAAAGTGTAATCCAAATCGAAGGAAATATTAACAAGCAAACGCAGGCCAACAATTATCGACGAAACATTTTGGATTAATTGAAAAAGACACTGTATTTGGGAAGCATATTTTGCAAAGTCACCAACTACTATCTGATGAATTTAAACTAAAAGTGTTTCATAAAATACACATGAGATGGATAAATAAATAGATGTAGGATATTCATGCAATTCGACCATTGAACTATGTACCACTAACATCGTCTATTTCGTCTTACATATGAACTACCACTCAATACATCCGACTCAACGATTTCTGGTGAATAAGATTACAAACTCAGTCATTGCATGTGAAATATCTTTAAAATGAAGGATCTTCACAAACAAGTCATCCTAAAAGCCAATTCGAATTGGTCTACGTATGTACCGTTACTAAGACGTTACAGTAATTATTTATATCATTCATCGTAAACAAATATTCATCGTTTCCTTCTCAAACATAATGTAGACAAAAAAGACTCAATGCGTTAATTACCATATATTATGTATTGTGTGTTAGAATTAGAAAATGTTATTCAAGAATATTGTTACGTTCACCACATATTAAATTGCATCAGTATGTTTCAGTGTACAATACTGTTATTGTTAACTGATTATGGTAGTGGTGTTGATGAGATTAGAAAACGAGTGATCTGAAAGAAAAGTATATGTGAAAGGATTTGATCATTCTTGGTAATATTTCAGACACGAGATTATTCTCATGAAAGCATTCATTTTCACATCTTTGAATATTATTATACTTTTGGATTAAGATAATAATCGAGCATGCAATATGTAATAATATAGCAAAAACGAGGGTGGAAATTTTATGAATATTCTAGACGAGCCATGTGATGACGATTTCTTCAGCTTTGATTTGTCAATTCTATTTAATCGATAGAAGACAATCAAGTCCTATCACAATTTGAACAATACTAAAACAAGTATTCTGTTTCACTATAATAATTTTAATATAATTGTACACATATTGACGGAATATATATGCAACTATACTGGAACGATTATTGATTTGCAAGGGTATCATTGATGTCGACAACCGGATATTGATCATATACAAATTGAATACACTTTCAAAGATGTTTACAAATCATTTTGATCAAACCATATTCATCCAACAACTAGCGACAAAACAACGTTAATCCACAATCTGTGACTAGATATTGATAACGTTTTGTGAACGGTGACTACCATGCTAACTGGTCATGATTAAATGGATTGTGTATTTACATTCCGTTTTCAACGAAACTTGAAACTAGAAATGTATTAAGATATAATTATAACACCACGATTCAATACTCACTTGTCACTCTTCATCTGACCAATCTGTGAATTTGTAAATCAAGTGAACAGTGAAAATCATGGAATGTAATTACAACCGTAACAATTTTGTTAATATACACATTCCCTCTTTCTGTATTGTTGTTAGATGAGGCCACCTAAACCGATAAACATTTGCACTAGTCTATCGACTGTTGAAATACTGATTCCGATAATCAACAAATTGATACACGTTTGCTAAATATAGGTCGTGATTTTAGGGAAATGAACAGCGTTAGACTCAATAACGGTCGTCACATATTCGAATTACGTAGACAACAGATGTCTATATACAAGACGTTTTTCTTTAGTTTCAACATTGTTGATTTGATTTGACAGCGCTTGTTGTGTAAGTGAGTTATTGCGATGTGGTTGAAATGGTCATGACGAACTGTCAGTTTATTCTTAGTGATCCTGAGAATAGCCTTAGTAAGTGGATGGTGTGCTGGTTCCATACTGTAGATAATATCACATGGGTATGTTATTTCTACTGCACAATATGTTTATGTTATTTCGGTTTCACACAAATCTAACAGGTCATGTCATGGGTATCTACGATTCAAACTTGAAAAGCAATTTTGAAAAGATCCTGTAAATGATATCACGCAGAAGAATAATGAAAGCTGCACAACCGAATTAGTCAGTTCAAACAATGAAACTCCAGAAAAGTTAGCTAGCTAATAAGAATTTATATACAATAAAGAAAATCATAAGAAATCCCATGCCAACAAAATAAGACGTTAATCAAATTTTAGAGAAAATTCGACACCTAACGACTTTATAAGTGTGATGACTGGAGAGACAGAATTTTACTCATTAATACGTCATAAGGCACATATTGAACCAGACATCACAGAATTCGGAGCTATTTTATATGGGGTACAATCCACTGTAATGCAACACTTCCTTCAATCTTTTAGACAGATTTCGTTGACGAGTGGCTATCAATATGAACAATGGTTCTAGGGTTTCCTGAGAATGAGCTCCAACCACCGAACAAGTTAGGTACATGTTTATCAAGAATTATTCTGAATAATATGAGCTGTTTGGTTTTGCATAACATCGTGGGATAAATTTGTTGAAATCACTGATTTTCGTCTTCCGTTCCAAAACAATATCATCACACACATATTCACATCAATAGACAGTTACTTCATCAATCAGTCAAACACATCTACTGTGATCCTATTGACCTACTGAGCATTAAACTCATGTATATTGAAATCAAAGTTCAAATATTTGTGAAAATCAACAGAGTCTCTCATGTCTTCCTGTGAAAACCTATGATCAATTGGACAACAAAAAATACTATTCCATGTCTCGAGATCCTCAATTTACAAATGAGAGAGTGGAAGAGAGATAGACAGACAGACAGACAGAGCGAGAGCGAGAGAGAGAAACAGAAAGAGAGAGAGAGAGAGAAAGGAGTCATCAGTCGAGCAAACATGTCCAGAGAAGAGATCATGAACCGATTTATGTTAGACCATCACAATTGGAAACCTGTAAGCACTGGACGGCCGTTTCGTCCTATTATGTGACTCCTCAGCAGTGCGCATCCACGATCCCACTCACGAGATTCGAACCCAGGGCCTTCGGTCTCGCGCGCGAACGCTTAACCGACTGGACCGCTGAGCCGGCATCTAATGGTGATAGTTTCCAACATCAACCAGTCTACGAAAACGCGCGACCAACTTCCGTTGTACTGAGGTAGATACCTGTCTCTACCCGACAAGGATTAGCTCCACTGGTCACGACTTCTCACTAGAACTCCGAGAATTCCTTCACGAAGCCGTCCAGTGCTTCCAGGTTTTCAATTGTGATGGTCTAACATCAGTCGGTCCACGATCTCAATCAAAAACTTAATAATCTCCACAACCCCTATACTAATACCGAGAGAAATTCCTTCCATGTCAGACGCTATTTCAGGTTGAGATGTTTCGCTCTTCATTGTCGTCTCCCCATCTAAATGACAGGAAGACATCGAGAAATAAACCGATAGAGTAAGTTCGATAGAAAAATGAAAGCGTTGTAACTGATCACCGAAATATCATTCTGTAGTCAGGTTTTTTTCATCTCTACTTATGCCTATGGTAATTTGTCTTAATTTGCACTTTTTCGCCTGTACTGTATTGTATGTTTTCAGCTTTTGCATGTTTCTTATCTTTACTCGCTTTCTTGTTTCTTTAATTTTGTTTTTAAATTTTTGTTTTTCGAAAATTCTCACCATATTTTTTCGGTCGCAATAATTCATCAACAGACCAGTATATTCTTCTGTATATGTTATGTTTGAAACAGCAATAACCTTTCTTCATTAGTTCTTGGTATTTCATACTCATACTTATAGTCCCTTTATGCATATCGAAGAGACAGTTCTCCATTAATTCTCCAAACCCGGAATATCTCCTCGACATAATGTTCTTCAGCTACAATTAAAATATTTAGACAGTGTATTACTGCATAGTACTTTTTAATGGCATAATGTCCATTTGTAAACAATTAGATATTTCGTAATCGTCGGTATGTATCATATAGAAACTTTGTGAGAACTTACTACTATTTTTCTATGAAACTGCTTCCAAATAAATCCTGATAAATGTAGATAACAAATGCTACGGAGGCCACATAACACTGATGTTTGGTGTTTAGGTCCGCAGAATATCAAAAAAAGCAATATACATCAATAAATGTCATCAAAGCGAGTATCGATGGACTATTCGTTGAAATTTTGGAATTAACGGTACGAAGATATAAATATCATGTGATGAACTTAAATTTATAATCTCTCTAAACCAACACGTAACTGCTACTTGATCGATCAACACAAAACGTATTACGCTCAAGAGAACTTCATAAGGCATGATCAGCTACAAACTTACATCAGCGCACCTATCAGCGACTAAGTGCGTTCCAAAATATTCGTTGAACAGGTGGGTTTCTAAAATGTACAACATTCATTAAACATAGTTTGTGGAACAAACATTCACTGTCAATGAAATATTTCATAAATCGGTTTGCTAATCAAATCACTCTATTCAGTGAGTATTGTAAGCCATACTACACATAAGCATTTGTGTTGACCGACGAATCAGATATCATATACACATTCACTGCTGATTTCATCCTTGATTCAAACTAATACAACCTTCGTTTTGACGTGTTGGTGAAACCAATTGAGGAAACGTTGTCATAATTTATCATCAAATTCTCAACTAGAGAAGCGATCTGGAGACTTGAGATGAACGGATCAAAATCAACTTGTCGAAGTTCAAGTGAACTTGTCTAGTGAAAACATCACTGAAATGCAGAGGAGAGGCAATCAGCGTAGCAGTCGAATGATATTTCTAATCAATCACTTGATTCCTCGGTGTGAATTTAATGTCAGAGTGTTTGTGTGTTGAACGCCTTTACAAGCATGTAAATATCAGGAGCTTTTGACTGATCAAATTGTGGAGATCGATTCACAAGGCCTTCACGAGTCGACCGTTCTCCGACCTATCCAATAAACTATATAATTTCACTACAGTCACATCATCGATATTACGGCCAGTTTGTTAGCATCATTCAGTTCACACAACATTCACAAACAAAGCAACGAACACATTTCATCCAGTCACTTTTACACACCTCAGTTGAGGTTATAAAATGATAACAGGAGATTTAAATTTCAAAACAACTGCCTCATATACGGGACAACTTACCATCGCTAAAGGTTTCCGGATCTACAAGTCAAAATAAATATTATTTTGCGGTTGATGATAACAGGCTACCCCTTTCACTCGTTTCACGACCCAAACTTACATACCATTACACATCTATCACTTCTGAAAGTCACACATTACGTTGACAGACTGATGTTATCAATATTTTACAGTATCACTGATATCAACAAATTTTACAATACACACAAACGACAGAATTTATCGTGAACTTACCACTCACTGAAACGATTTCTGAAATGAAGTACAGTATATTTACTTAGTGCTGAAAACTACAAGTGATGTCAACTCAACTAAACACATTACATATTGATCAAGTGTGGATATCAACAAGAAAACTGACATGCATTGGCGATTCACTCACTAGTTATCCACGTGCTATCCACATTCACAGTACCCGATTCAAGTGCATTCTTTAACGATGGAAACCACTTTTCTGATGAATATACTTTCTCCATTTCACTCTTTAACACAGCAAGTTGAACATTGATGGTTTCGGCATGAATATTATTTGGCTTTTGTAATGGATGCATGTCACATGACAGAGTAACGGAATTCAGTTTTGGTTCCAATTCCTTCACCACATTCACAACCTTTAAGAAATCATATGAGTCGGTCAAATTATTTCGTAGAAATATTTATGAAAGTGATCATTCTAACTCAAAACGCAAATTTTATGGGTGTTCATATAATTATTCATATTTGGATATTTATGTCCAGTCACAAAAATGGTTACCCAGAGTGACAATAACCTAACACTGAATCATAGTGATATTCAACATTTACCCTTCGGTAATAAAGTTCCATTTTACGTATTTTACAAATTTTCACATCAATGTACACGTCCCATTACAACACATCATTTAACATTAATTGTTGCGCGTTTACGAGATTACTATGCAGGTTCACTCAAAGATTCATGTGGCCAATATATGGATATCGATTGAAGTAAAATAACTCGAATAATGTTATCCTTTACGTCGCTTCATGTCAAAGAACTCGAGCGATAGCTTCTAGACTTACATTTGCACAATATCTATCCAAAACGTCTAGGGATTCTCCTACATCATTCTTGCTAATCAGTTCATCCCACTCCTTAACGGAGACAGAGAGTTTCATCACAACGATATCTAAAACAAACCGGAATTCAAACATATTAGATGAGAGCATAATATGGACACGAAAATCATTGAAAACGTCAGCATGGTTGTCGTGGAGGAAAATGTACATCATTCACAATAATCCGTCAGTATCACTGTGAAATTCGTATTGTTTATATGCTGATCAGGAGACACTAACAGTTTCAACGACCATTTATTCAAGTCTCATCATGCTCATAATGGATAGACTAATTTTTTATGAAATAGTTTGAACGCACCCAAACTGAGCGATTCAATATTCGATAATTATTCAGAAGTCATTAAATGAATGAACTAAAACAAGAATCAACAATGCGTTCAGCTAAACAAAACCGGGATGCACACTTCAATTCTCATCCAAACAGAACCCATAAAAATCATCACTTATGATGATGTGCGCTGTAGTTCGAGTGTAAGAGCAAAATATGTGATGCTACTGAACATCCATTTAAATTGTACTGCATGATTTATTCGATATACATAGAAATAAACCTGATTCGATTAACATTTAACACGACACGTGATGGAAGTGCAATTCATCAGATGAGATTACTGTCCAACTAACTTACCTGCACTTGTAAACTCAAGAAACTGCGCTGTCAACAAAAATAAAAAACAATGAAAATTATGGAGACGACACATTCACCTGAATTAAGAAACGCTTAATTAGTTTACGGACAAGAAGACACAACAAGTGATTGATCAATGAGTAATGACTAGCGTCACGTCCACATAACTTTACTAAGGGCATTGGACATTGAGTGAGATAACCACTACACAGTATTCACTAAACAAATAATTCGCGTATAGACAGGAGTTTAGCTTTTGAAGAATGGCTCATTGTTGACATCACAGATTTCGGAGCTATTTTATATGGGGTACAATCCACTGTAACGCAACACTTCCTTCAATCTTTTAGACAGATTTCGTTGACGAGTGGCTATCAATATGAACAATGGTTCTAGGGTTTCCTGAGAATGAGCTCCAACCACCGAACAAGTTAGGTACATGTTTATCAAGAATTATTCTGAATAATATGAGCTGTTTGGTTTTGCATAACATCGTGGGACAAATTTGTTGAAATCACTGATTTTCGTCTTCCGTTCCAAAACAATATCATCACACACATATTCACATCAATAGACAGTTACTTCATCAATCAGTCAAACACATCTACTGTGATCCTATTGACCTACTGAGCATTAAACTCATGTATATTGAAATCAAAGTTCAAATATTTGTGAAAATCTACAGAGTCTCTCATGTCTTCCTGTGAAAACCTATGATCAATTGGACAACATCAAATGCTATTCCATGTGATGTGCGATCCAATGTGCTTTGATTGAGTGTCATCAACATGTTTTCCTGTTGACAACTTCATCTCCAACGAGACTGATGTGGAAGTTCACCCGTTAACTCGTCACAAGTGTTTTTACAGACGCAGGAAGTACACATAGTTTACTTACATTATACTGTAAACCATGGAGCGACAACAGTGTAGACTGAATGTGGTATGAGGTGTCAAACACTGGGTGGCGACACAGTCTAGTGAAGTGTTCACGAGTACAATTTGTGTGTGAACAGTTGTTGTTTATTGCTCTGAGGTCCTATACTAGAAAGAACCACTAGTTCGGTGTTCTCTGGTCAACACTGACAGCCCAGTTAAGATCAGTCCATGATTCGAACTAAAAATTGGAACAATTTCACAGGGAATTTAGTCGTTCATTATTCATAGTTCTCGTTTTCGAATAACCAGCCGATTTTTACCATCTCAGTTGCATGAAAATATTTGATCGAATGACGAGACTTCAATTCCCCTACTACTGTTCTGTTTCGTAAGTCATGTTTAGGCATGAGTTTTTATTGTTTTGTAAGTTAGACTATTCAGAAGAATGTTCATTCATAAGAATGAGGCGTCAATTGGATTCTCATTAGACTTTCAATTTGACAGAGTAGAGCTGAACAAACAATCACATTTATTTATTGACACTCATTTATTTTGTGGTCTTTCCTTCCTCATAAATGGGAATTTATAACCTGTGCAATCTTCAATTTTTTTAGTCTAATATTGCTTGATCGGAGTCTCATATTTTAGTTGTATGCATACAGATCCGAATAAACAATGATCTCTGTCAGAAAACGTGCACTCTTAGCGCCTGACTTCATGTTATCTCCACTTCGAAATTTCATCAAACTTCTAGATTTAAAACATGCCATCACTTCTACCAACGGCAAATATGAAGTAAAGTCAACCTTTCCACTACGCGTTCAATCAGGATATTCTTTCACTGTTTACATCGACCAAAGAAGATTGACTTAAAAGTTCAGTCGTTGAAGTAGTACTTTTTTATGGTTCCTCAGTAAAGATAACAAACCGGGAAGTATTACAAATGATGCTGCGGTCATATTGTATCACGTAATCTAAGTATTTGTCATGCAGTTTGCTCAAAGAATATTGCTTCCCAATATCGTCGTGTTAGCATGTTTCAAAATGCTCGCGGTACATGGACAACGACTTGAGCAAGGCTTTCTTGAGGCCTGTAGACTATTAAAACATTCGACTTCTTAGGTTACCAGTAAGTTTTTCGCAATTAGTCACAAGGGAGAAGAAGAACGTATTATGATTATATGCTGATTAATGCTTATAGGTGAAGTGTATTGTGACCACAAGAGAACTGGTGCTCTATGTACGAACCGAATACATGTCAACATCTTTCACAACTTGATAAGTGCTCATCAACGCATACTAATGACTAGTGACTAATGTCACGATTGCTGAGTGATTATCTATGTCATGTACATAGTCATATGAACAAAAATAAAGATGGTGACGCCCATATAAAACTGTTTGAGTCTTACCTGCATTCCAGACCAGGAAAAAGAAAGGAAACCAAACAATTGCTCCTTGTGGTCTAAACATATTTGTACTCTGTAATTCACCAACGTTTTCTGAAGTCAATTAGACAGTTTGCATTCTGATGTCTGTTTAAATACAATGATAATGTGTCTTTCACTCACAATTAAAACGTATATGATTGGCAAGTGGAAAGAATGAAGTCATCCTATCAGTCGATGCCACATTTTTAAACTATATCAAGGTCAAAACCAATGTGAATGTGACCATTATTTGAAAAATAATAATAGTAACCATCACGTATAACGAGAGAGGGTCCAAACAAATATTCATTCAATCTGCGATAAATCCATCATCTTATTTCTCATTTGTTGACCACCTCTTCTATTATGACGCACGAGTGTCATATGAGAACTCGAAATGAAAAAATTTACCACACCGTCCATCTTCACTTTACCCTGCTCACACTTTCCCTGTTACTTTGCGTATGCGCTTATTCAGTTTCCGTGTGAAATATTCTAAACTGTGTTGAAAAAGAATGATTATGTGAAAGTCTCATACCAGATGAAGTTACGCTGATGTACAAAATTAAGTTTGTCAAAATACCATTCATTCAATCTCACCTTCATATACACTTAGTAAATTCATAGTACAAGCAAACTTTGAATTATTTTTTCTGGTTAGCATTTTTTTAGCGAGTTAGTTCACCACGGGATGTGGTTGCTAACCTCATGCCCAACTCTCCTCCTTTACCCGGGCTTCGGACCGGCAGTAACTCTAGAAGAGCTACAGGCAGTTCTACTATACGGATGTGAAACTTGGGGAATTAACACAACCATCATTAAGATGGTACACGCACATATAATCATTTTTCTACACAAGACACTCAAAGACTGTTGGCCGGATACTATCAGCAACCGTCTACTGTAGGAGAGAACAAACTAGGTTCCAGTTTAAGAGGAAATTAGGAAAAGATGATGGAAGTAGATAGGACGCACAATGATGAAATCATCAAACTGCATCACGAGACAAGTGCTAACTTGGAATTTCGAAGGCAAACGGAAAAGTGGAAGATCATGGAACACACTGCACTGAGAATTGGAAGCAGACATTAAAAGGATAAATAACAATTGGGAACAACTGGAAAGTATTGTTCAGGCCAAGTTTGATGGAGAATCCTAGTGTGCAGCCTATGCTTCTCCATGAGGGGTAACAGGCTTAAGTAGGTAAGTAAGTAAGTCTTGTTTGTTTGGTTATTATTCACGATAAGTTACTTGTCATTATCGAAAACAGTGACAAATTTGGAATCTTATTTCTAAGAAAAAATTTATCTAATTCACCTGCACAGTAAGCCAAGTATAGAAAGAGAAGGTGAATTGTCACTACTCGTAATCTAAATATGGTAATCACTAAGCATTCATCGGGTCATTTCATAATTAATAATGCTACATACAATCAGTTCTCTGGTTAATTACCTGCAGACAATGATTAAGATCATATCGTAAAAGTAAGGTGACCAGTATATGAAAAGATACAACTAATCTAATTAGTAAATACCATTGTTTCATTTAAAAATATTACAAATTCATACTCATTATGAATGAGACCATGTTAATGATGATCATAACAACAAGCTAGAAATATGTGATATGTGCCAGAAACAACCACGGTTTAAAAATAGACTGAAATAGCTTCTTCATTTTTTTGGCTTAAAGCCAAACTATGAGTATTTCAATAGGAATTCGGAACTGATCATCACTGATGAATGTAAGGATAAAAGTAATTGTTAAACGACAACACACGCTTCACTATGACCTGACAGAATTTAGTAGGACTATACACTGTACTCTAAATCCGTTTGTAGCTCTTCCAGGGCTACTGGTGGTCTCACGTCTGGGTGAAATATGGGGTTAGTCATAATGTCGGCAACCCATTCCTCAGAAAACGACCTTGCTTATAAAACGTTTACCAAAATAAAAAATCTTAATAATCTAAACTCTGCACTCTTTGATGAAAGAATTATTACACCTCATGATGACACCCAATATTCTTCGTAAGTCACGAGGCTTTAAGAAAGGACACTTAGTAAATTTAGCAATCTAATGATATATATCTCTCTTTAGCTCGAAAGCTCATCAAGTAAACATGGATATATGGAATTCATAAAGTTGGAAACTAACTATTTTGTGTGCCGGCTCAGTGGTAGAGTATTTGAGAACTTGCGTTCTCGTTACAGTATGTATTATGATGGACCATTCAACTAGTTATAACACAGTCAGACAAGTTTTGAAAGATCTGCTTGCACAATCACCTGTTATTGCTCCAGAAGTGATACTAATTTTGATACATGCAGCGATCACTGAATTGAATAAAGTGATGCTGAATCTTCAATAAATGAGAAGAGTTTGACTCAAAGGTGTTAAGTTGATCAGGATAGACGTTACACAGAATTAGCTGAAATGACAGTATGTTATCGAAATGATTGATGAGAATGGTCAAAGCGAGGCTCATAAGATTCATAGAATCATCTAATTATGTGGCAGTTTAAAGTGCATCACCTAAGAAATCACCACAAGTCGAACTTGTCACCCATCGTATCAGGTCTTGAATTTGCAACGGAGAATCGAGTCTCGTCAATAGACAGAAACAATGTGATAGAAAAACAGATATTAGCAGAACACCGTGATATATTAGCTCTATGGATTTAAAAAATTCCATCACATAAAAATTTATTAAGATCATTGATCTATAAAACTAAATGGTAAAGTAGATAGTGCTAAACTATCAAATTATACAAAACAGAATAATCTTAATAAAAACACTGTGTAGAAAGATAAACAAACACAAAAGTTCAAATGCCTGAGCATATTACAAACCAAATGTGTGAAATATGATAAAGAAAACAAAATATTTATTAGGTAGAAAAGTATATCTTACACATCAAAGAAAGTTCATATAAACCGGACAAGAAATAAGTTGGATGCCAGTTAAGCGGTAAAATATCTACCGATCTAGTGCAAAATCAAAAGGATGTAGGTTTATGTTATGAATTTATGTCCGGCTTTAATCACGTGATTTATCCAACAATCAAAATACGACTTATACAATCTTAGCACTATGCCAAACCAATGACGTTCGACCGGTATGAGTAGCCTAGTGTCCTTATTGGTCCTATTGTCCGCTTAGCCCATCCGCTTGAGTACAGAATACAATGCCAACTTCTGCAATATGGATCATTTATTTCAAACATACTCGGTTTATATATCCACCAAGCAGACCGCAATGCACTATAAAATAGGAAATAACATTTGTACGTAATAAAGCCAAAAAGTGACTGTAAACGTGGAAGACAGTAGTCAATAAACTGAACATAGTAGCTTCAGAACCGTAAATCGTACAATAATAAATTATAAGTCGAAATAAAGCTTATAATAAGAGGAATATAAATAAACATAATGTAATTATTGAATAATTATACCATAAGAATGTATAGATAATATTAGTCAATTAATATGTCTCAGAAGTTACTCGTGATTTAATCTTCGCTCGGATATAACACATTAGTGTGCCGTAAGCAATAGAGACGAGAACAAACATTGACAAAGCTCAAACAAAACAGAAAGTACAGTGCGAAGAATGATGATAATTTATGAAAGTAAAATGAACGAAGCACAGTCAAGTAAAATGAGAACGAAATCCATATTTGACAGAATTCAAAAACTGATATTTATCTTGAGCACATTACTGAAGAAATTGAAGATGTAGCCAACAGAAATGCATTCATCAGAAGTCGTGAACAATGGAGTGAAATATGTGTCGATTATGAGATAAATATCAGCCTAACATGATGCATGGAATGTTTCACAAATTTACAAATTAATCGAAGTTAGACGTGTATAGTTTACGATGCATGCTCACTGGTCTAGAAATTGATCGATCTCAATCGAGCTCGAGATAATTGGATACCAATGCAGGCTACACGTCGGAGTATTCACACTGATGACGAGCATCATACTAAAGAGCCTATCAATGCGTTCAACTCGTTTGTAATCTTCCAGAATATTTCAGCTGTTCATATAAACAATGAGAATAATGCAGTTTCCACAAACTGACATGAAGTCATAAAGTATGTGCTCAAAAGTGACTAGAACAAAAGTGTAATTCACTAATCGTAAATGATCGTTTGAAATAATATGTGTTAAGAAATACGAATATGTATTCGTCTGATTGTATAGTTCCACTTCAACACCAGTGTAGAACCATGACAAGAAACGAATTTAAACTAATTGTGTATTCTACGACCAATAATAGTAGGGATCGAAAATTTGATAAGTAATGTAAGTATTTGTGATCAGACAAATATATTATCGATATACAATGAGTTGAAGATGGTATTCATCTCGGATTTAGTTTAAGTAGGAAATCAAACATACTGTTAATGCTAGCATGTGGATTCCTGAACTGAATCAGTTCTCGATTCACCTAGCAAACCAAAATCGTCCGCTCCCGCTACTTAAGTTTAATTCTTGTATCATTTGGTTGACGAAACGATACATCATTCTTGGCAATTAACAAGAAAGCACAACTGGTAAGATCGACACTCACACATGTAACTAGGTAGTTGAGTAGCGTCTAAAGGTTATTCCATGCAAAATGATGTCTTCATTTTCTAATTTCTGAAATGAGAATACACATATTTCTGACTAACAGTTATCAAGTGATTTTATCTCCAGCTGTGTTATTGGGTGTTTAATTTCCATCGGTTAAATATGTTTTGACATCAAACATTCTGTTATTCATGTAAATATTAGTAATAATGGCATAGTTGTATTGTAGTGAACAATCATAAAGTAAATGCTTAATTTGCAAATGTCCACCAGTTGTCTCATAAAGACTCAGACTTCATTGTTCTTGCATTCTCATACAAATTGCATTCTGTTCCCATTCTTTACTGTTCGATCCTCTTGTCTCTCTGCTGCCAGACATTTTGTTCACGACTAACATCATATACTACTTATGTCAATATAAGTAGCACACACCACAGTAACTGCAAACATGCTTCACATTTTATTCAGGAAGATTTGTGAGGAAGAATAA